GCCACCCCATAACCCTGTGTGTCCCCCCCCCCCACAGAGCAGTACACTGTCACTGGCCTGATGGAGGCGGCGCAGATGATGGTGGACATCGATGGGGACGTCCTCGTGTTCCTGGAGCTAGCTCAGGTAGGACAGAACAGGACAGGGCCCTGTGTCAGCAGGGATGGGGTGAGGTACTGGGTGATGCCATGTCCAGCAGCTCCAGGGGGATGATGCTGCCCTGGCAGAGAAGGCAACCGGGTCTTGGATGTCCGTGGAGGAACAGGGTGGTGGTTCTGATGTGGGTTGGGTTGGTGGTGGCTCCGATCCGGGCTGGTGGTGGTTCTGATGTGGGCTGGTGGTTCCTCTGATGGGGACGGGTGGTTCTTTAGACGTGGGCTGGTGGTGGCTCTGATGTGGGCTCCATCTCTTCCAGTTCCACTGCGCCTACCAGCTGGCTGACTGGTGCCTCCACCACATCTGCACCAACTACAACAACGTCTGCCGCAAGTTCCCGCGGGACATGAAGGCCATGTCAGGAGGTGAGCAGGGACCAGGGTGGGCTGACGGGGGAGGGTGTCCTGGTAGTCCCAGCATTGTCCTCACCTCCTCTTCTCCCTGCAGAGAACCAGGAGTACTTCGAGAAGCACCGCTGGCCGCCGGTGTGGTACCTGAAGGAGGAGGATCACTACCAGCGGGCGAAGAAGGAGCGGGAGAAGGAAGACTACCTCCACCTCAAACGGCAGCCCAAGAGGAGGGGGGTCTTCTGGTAAGTCTTCTCCCTCCTTCATCGCCGCCAGCCACAGCCTCCTCTTCTTCCTCCTCCTCCTCCTCCTCGGCTGTGGTTTGAAAGCCCATCCTTGCCCTGGCTCCAGCATCCCTGGGAGGAGACGGGGAGGAAGAGGAGAAGGAAGAGGAAGGGTGGGATGACCTGCCCCAGCACCAGGCGTGGAGTGGATGCCACCAGCTGAAGTTCAGAGGAGATGGTGGGAGCAGGGGTGGCAGCAGGGGCCTGGCCCTGCAGAGGAGCCCCGGGTGCTCCTGGAGCCCTGCTCGCCCCGCGCCGCGGCCGCCAGCGCGCCCGAGGCCTGGCAGAGACTGAGCAGCAGGAGAAACTCACGTTTACAGGAGCACGAGGGCTGTGTCGTGGTTTCCTTTTGGGTTTGGTTTTTGTTCTCTTTTTTTGGTTTGTTTTTTTGTTTTCCTTTGGAACATCAGCAGCATGAGGACAAGGAGAAGAAGAAGAAGAAACCCATCCTCCTTCCACTTTGGAGTTGTAACCAGAAGCTGTGGGATGTGGTTGGTTTGTCCAACAGCATCTCACCACCCTGAGCAGCCAGAGCTGCTGCCAAGGGGGTTCCTGTCCCCCCTCTTTGACTTGCAGCAGGGTCAGGGCAGGGTGCAGGGGACTTTGGTCCCCAAATGCCTCCAGGCACTGCAGCATCATCCCTCTTTTCTCACGAGTGGGATCTAACTCGGGGAGGGGACAGGAGCCCTCTCCTCCCTGCCACTAACTTGGCATCTTTTTTTTTAAAAAAAAGAAAACTAAAAGCAAAAAAAAAAAACAACCCAACAAACCCCATGACCCCAACAACCCCAAACCCACCCCCCCCCTCAACCTGCCACACCAGAAACCAACCCCAGGCCCTGGCCTTGGGATTTTAAAGGCTGGAAGGTTCCATTGTAATAAATGGTATTTTAAAAGCCCAGCGTGATCCCTGTGTGTCTGGGAGGAAGCAGCTGGGCAGCTTTGTGCCCTGGATGGGGTGACACCCACACCCCTCCACCAGCACTCCCAGGAGGGACAGGGACAGTGGAAAAGGCTCCAACTATCAAATAAACCCTGTAGAGGTGGCTTTGCCATCAGACTCACTTTGCATGCCCCACCTGTGTCCTTGTAGGTGCACGAATGTCTGTGGCAGGAGAAGGTGCCGTGGGCAGAGCCACCCATCCCAGGGAGGTTTGCAGGACTGTCAGGCAGGGAGGGAGACAAAACTCTGCTTGTCAGGAGGTTTGTAGGACTGTCAGGCAGGGAGGGAGCCACAATTCTGCTTGTCTTTCCCAGCTGGAAAGGGGAAAAGCTCTTTTGAGCCCATCTCTGCTGCTGGACTGAGGACATAGGGATGGCTCCTGGGGGTGTCACCTCCCACTCTGTCCCGGCTGGCCTCAGTAGAGCACTTTGGGAGTCATTTCACATGCTTATCCTTGGCCACGGATGCAGGAGCAGGGCTGCAGCTCCAGCAAACTTTCACTCCATGTCTGCCCACTTTGCAGCCCCAGCCAGCAGGCAAGATGGCAGGTTTCTTTCCCTCTCAAATCCGGGCACTCACCATTGCTTCCGAGTCCCGTTTGCCTTCCCCAGGCCAGGACCTCCATGTCCCAGCATTAAATCCTGCACGTGCCTGGCCCTGTGGGAGCTACCTGCCAAGGTCTGAATCCTTGAGAGGTACCAGGCTGCCCAGGACACATCCTTGGGCACAAAGCAGGTCACCAAGACCTCCTGCTTTTAGCACTTGAGAAAATACTTGGCGTTACAAACGAACCCGACGGGAGCGCGAGGGGGCTTTTCTGGGAGCCCTTTTTCTCACCTAGCACTGCATGGATTTTGCAAAGCAGCTACTGCAGCACACAGAGCCCAGGCTTGGGGAGCACCACAGCCCCCCTAGGCAGCAACAGCAGCCTCATTAGGGGGGGGTCAGCAGCATCACTTGGCCCCCGGGGGGGGGGGAAGGGGTTCCAGCCCCACCCAGCGCGCACGCCCAGGGACTGAGATTTCAGCCTCCAACTTTTGCAGGTGACTTAAGATGGTGGGACTCACGGCTTAGGTGTAAAAAAGCAGAGCTCAGGTTGGCTGCTGAGGAGTTTCCCTGGTGGAAGCATCACTGGTGGGGCCCATTCCTGGCAGGATTCCAGCGTGGCAAGAGGACTAATGCCACGGGCTGGGTCCCGGGTGCCAACGTGGAACAAGCTGCTGAGCATCAGGGTCCAGCTCCTTTTGGTGCCCACGGACACCTGGAACAGATGATGGTCAATGTTATGGCAGAGCAAAGTGTATGTGTGGGGGTAATAAAAAAAAAAGCAAAATATGAGAAATCAGGAAGGTTTTTTTAAAAATGTTTATTCTTCCTTCATAAAAAGATGTAAAACCTGGGAAGAGCAAGCTCGCTGGGACGGAGCTTGGCATAAAAACCTGATAATGCATAGTAAAAAACCACTATTTTTATATTAGGTTTTAAGTTAATATATGTATAAGTTTACTATTACTAAATAAATACATAAATACACATCTTCAGCTTGTGTTTTCTAAATGAGGAGGGGTGGGAGGGATGAGCATAGGGTGTGGTTTGGGCACCATTCCGCAATGAGTAAAACATCCCAGTGTTCCCAGCAGCCCAAACATCCCCAAACCAGCTACTGGGATGAAAAAAAAGACCTGTATCCCAGCCCAAACCAGTACCCTTGGCTCGCTGAGAGGGGCTGGTGATGTTCTCCTCTCTTTGGTGAGGTCCCAGTGGGCTGGGCTGGACTGGGGTGGCAGCATGTGTAGCCAGCTCAAGTACTGGGGGAGTTTTTTCCAGCCAAGTTGTCCCTGAGCTTAAAGAGCCTGAGCAAAGGGCCAAGGGGCTGAGGACCAACCCATCCAGCTGCTGGATGGATGGCAGGTCCCCACAACCCTGCTCAGACCTCAGTGCAATCACCATCCCATGGTCACTGGAGACAGACAAGGGTCAGCAAAGCCACCCTGTAGCCAAGGGAATGGGAACTGACTTGGCCGAGGTCCCAGAGAAGGAGGTTTCTGGCACACCAATACTTTGCTGCCCCCATTCCTCACAGCCTTTCCTGGGCAAGCCCAGTGATCCCAGACCACTGGGATTCCCATCCTCTCCTCCAAGTCCAGTTTCAAACCGACTCCCAGTAACAAGCAGAACAACCACAAGCTAAAAAGCTGATTCAGACAACGTTAAGTAAACCAAGAACCCCAGGAACATCTGCCCACCAACCATACAGTATGAAGCTTGCTAGCCACCTAGGAGATGTTCTACAAGCAGAAGCCATTGCATGATGCCAAGAGTCTGAGGATGAGCCAGATAAAACCCACAGGGATGCCTGTGTCCTGCACAGGCCCTTCTCTGTGCTGGTCCTGAAGATGTCCAGGTAAGTACCAGTGCTTCCAGGTGAGAAAGTCCCACAAGCAGCTTGTAATTTCCCAGCTCTGTGCTTTGACTCTGAAATGAAGGCACCAGCTTGAATTTCATTAGGAAGCAGCAATACTGAGTCCATAGCTACAGACAGGACCATAAGGTTTGTCCTTCATCAGAGGATCAACTCCTCTGGGCTCAGCTCAACTGTACAATAGCTTCAAAAAGAGAAGAGCCACAGAAGAGTTATAAACAGAACATTCAAGTCTTCTCAGAAGTATTTATGACTTCAGCTTGAAGAGGGGAGGAGCTCAGCTGACTTCATATTGGAAATACCCCTGCTGGACCAGCTTGAAGGAGATGTCCTCTGCAATCCCTCCAAGATTGATGTCGTGCAGGGCAGCCAGCAGCATGTTCACAGAGGCATTGATCCCTTGTCTGTTAAGCCAGGTGTTGAGCATCTGGAAGAAGGGCTCCAGAGAAGCCTTGTCATTTGTCTCTGCAAGGGCAATGTCATTCTCCAGCAGATCAAGGGCTCGGCCAAACCTCTTCCAGTCTTTTACAGGCACTTGTTGGGCAAAGATGTCAAAAGAACGTCGCAAATCTGGAGGGGGGAAAGGGAAAAGCTCAGAGAACAGAGCTAGAGAGCTTCCTCTCTTGGCCTGGAGAGAAGGAGGCTGAGCTCAGACCTCAGTGCAATCACCATCCCATGGTCACTGGAGACAGACAAGGGTCAGCAAAGCCACCCTGTAGCCAAGGGAATGGGAACTGACTTGGCCGAGGTCCCAGAGAAGGAGGTTTCTGGCACACCAATACTTTGCTGCCCCCATTCCTCACAGCCTTTCCTGGGCAAGCCCAGTGATCCCAGACCACTGGGATTCCCATCCTCTCCTCCAAGTCCAGTTTCAAACCGACTCCCAGTAACAAGCAGAACAACCACAAGCTAAAAAGCTGATTCAGACAACGTTAAGTAAACCAAGAACCCCAGGAACATCTGCCCACCAACCATACAGTATGAAGCTTGCTAGCCACCTAGGAGATGTTCTACAAGCAGAAGCCATTGCATGATGCCAAGAGTCTGAGGATGAGCCAGATAAAACCCACAGGGATGCCTGTGTCCTGCACAGGCCCTTCTCTGTGCTGGTCCTGAAGATGTCCAGGTAAGTACCAGTGCTTCCAGGTGAGAAAGTCCCACAAGCAGCTTGTAATTTCCCAGCTCTGTGCTTTGACTCTGAAATGAAGGCACCAGCTTGAATTTCATTAGGAAGCAGCAATACTGAGTCCATAGCTACAGACAGGACCATAAGGTTTGTCCTTCATCAGAGGATCAACTCCTCTGGGCTCAGCTCAACTGTACAATAGCTTCAAAAAGAGAAGAGCCACAGAAGAGTTATAAACAGAACATTCAAGTCTTCTCAGAAGTATTTATGACTTCAGCTTGAAGAGGGGAGGAGCTCAGCTGACTTCATATTGGAAATACCCCTGCTGGACCAGCTTGAAGGAGATGTCCTCTGCAATCCCTCCAAGATTGATGTCGTGCAGGGCAGCCAGCAGCATGTTCACAGAGGCATTGATCCCTTGTCTGTTAAGCCAGGTGTTGAGCATCTGGAAGAAGGGCTCCAGAGAAGCCTTGTCATTTGTCTCTGCAAGGGCAATGTCATTCTCCAGCAGATCAAGGGCTCGGCCAAACCTCTTCCAGTCTTTTACAGGCACTTGTTGGGCAAAGATGTCAAAAGAACGTCGCAAATCTGGAGGGGGGAAAGGGAAAAGCTCAGAGAACAGAGCTAGAGAGCTTCCTCTCTTGGCCTGGAGAGAAGGAGGCTGAGGGGAGACCTTCTCACTCTCTACAACTCCCTCAAAGGAGGTTGTAAGAAGGATGGGATTGGGCTGTTCAATGGAGATACAAGAGACAGGACAAGAGGGAACGGCCTCAAGTTGTGCCAGGTGGTCACTGGAGACAGACAAGGGTCAGCAAAGCCACCCTGTAGCCAAGGGAATGGGAACTGACTTGGCCGAGGTCCCAGAGAAGGAGGTTTCTGGCACACCAATACTTTGCTGCCCCCATTCCTCACAGCCTTTCCTGGGCAAGCCCAGTGATCCCAGACCACTGGGATTCCCATCCTCTCCTCCAAGTCCAGTTTCAAACCGACTCCCAGTAACAAGCAGAACAACCACAAGCTAAAAAGCTGATTCAGACAACGTTAAGTAAACCAAGAACCCCAGGAACATCTGCCCACCAACCATACAGTATGAAGCTTGCTAGCCACCTAGGAGATGTTCTACAAGCAGAAGCCATTGCATGATGCCAAGAGTCTGAGGATGAGCCAGATAAAACCCACAGGGATGCCTGTGTCCTGCACAGGCCCTTCTCTGTGCTGGTCCTGAAGATGTCCAGGTAAGTACCAGTGCTTCCAGGTGAGAAAGTCCCACAAGCAGCTTGTAATTTCCCAGCTCTGTGCTTTGACTCTGAAATGAAGGCACCAGCTTGAATTTCATTAGGAAGCAGCAATACTGAGTCCATAGCTACAGACAGGACCATAAGGTTTGTCCTTCATCAGAGGATCAACTCCTCTGGGCTCAGCTCAACTGTACAATAGCTTCAAAAAGAGAAGAGCCACAGAAGAGTTATAAACAGAACATTCAAGTCTTCTCAGAAGTATTTATGACTTCAGCTTGAAGAGGGGAGGAGCTCAGCTGACTTCATATTGGAAATACCCCTGCTGGACCAGCTTGAAGGAGATGTCCTCTGCAATCCCTCCAAGATTGATGTCGTGCAGGGCAGCCAGCAGCATGTTCACAGAGGCATTGATCCCTTGTCTGTTAAGCCAGGTGTTGAGCATCTGGAAGAAGGGCTCCAGAGAAGCCTTGTCATTTGTCTCTGCAAGGGCAATGTCATTCTCCAGCAGATCAAGGGCTCGGCCAAACCTCTTCCAGTCTTTTACAGGCACTTGTTGGGCAAAGATGTCAAAAGAACGTCGCAAATCTGGAGGGGGGAAAGGGAAAAGCTCAGAGAACAGAGCTAGAGAGCTTCCTCTCTTGGCCTGGAGAGAAGGAGGCTGAGGGGAGACCTTCTCACTCTCTACAACTCCCTCAAAGGAGGTTGTAAGAAGGATGGGATTGGGCTGTTCAATGGAGATACAAGAGACAGGACAAGAGGGAACGGCCTCAAGTTGTGCCAGGGGAGGTTTAGATTGGATGTCAGGAAGAATTTTTTTTACCAAAAGGGTTGTCAGGGATTTAAGGGTCACAGAGACATTGTACTTAGGGAGGTGGTTTAGTTAAGGACTGGTCAGTGTCAGGTTAATGGTTGGACTGGATGATTTTGAAGGTCTTTTCCAACCAAGGGGATTCTGTATATCAGGGGAGAGCATGGTCAGCTGGTTCAGAAAGGATTTTGCCCCAAAAGCTCACCCTGCAGGGTCACCCCCTCCCTGCCCCCTGGGCCCCACACTTACAGTACATGGGGTCTTTTCCTTCTACCAGATTTCCTGGAACCAGATTCCTCCTGGGTGGTGCAGTGGGATACGATCTTCTAATTGTCTGGAAAGATAATGTGCTATAGCAGCCACCCTGGAACAGGTTGGGCAGGGAAGCTGTGGCTGCCCCATCCCTGCAAGTGTCCAAGGTCAGGTTGGATGGGGCTTGGAGCAGCCTGGGCTGGTGGGAGGTGTCCCTGCCCGTGCAGGGGGTTGGATTTAGATGATCTTGAAGGTCCCTTCCAACTCAAACCATTCTATGATTCTATGACCCACCAAGCCCTGGCTCAAACACTGTCCCTAAGCCCCAGTATTGGAGGAGGAGGTTGAAGACCATCTCTGTCTCTCCTGCTGGGGCAGGAGACCACCACATTCCCCCAGGACACCCATCATTTTCTAGCTTTGGGATGACAGGTTTTGCAGTCCTGAAACCAGAAAAAGGACAGGAGACTCCTTGCTGTCTCCATGCAGAACCTGTTATCCAGCTCAGGAAGCCCCTGAAGCTGATCAGCTTGGTGAAGGCAGAGGAAAGCACCAGAAACTGGCCAACCAGGAGAGAGGAACACATTCATGTACCTCAGGTCCTGGAGCATTGGGAATCACTGGACTTGATGCCCTGAGGAGCTGCTCGTTGCGGATGTTGTCCTGGGTCCCCCGGCCTCCCCGCTGGAGCTTCCTCAGCTGCTGCCTCAGGTAGTCCTGAGGCAGGAGAGAGGCACAAAGCAGCTGTGTCTGGTGGTCCTGGTGGTTTCAGGTCCAGCACAGCCTTCCCTTTAACCCTGGGACTCCACCCTGGATGTGCTGGCACCTCTGCCAGGGGAGCTATGACAGCACTGGGGAGGGGGCTGCAAGCCCCCCACATACAGCAGGGCACTACAAAAGACCTTCTTCTGCTTGGCCCAGCTCCACCACACCCCTGCAGGGATGAGACTTATCCTCCTGCTCCTCCAGCCTTCCCAGGACCTGCAGGCTAAGTGGGGAGCAGAGAGGGGACCTCACCCCACCCCCAAAAACAGAGCTGCCACCCCCCAACACACCATCCCAACAACTCACCATCGCGCTGCAGGACTTGCTACTCAGGTTCTTCCCATCTCCTGGAAGATGAAAATGATGCTGTGATCCCTCTTCCCTCAGGCATGTTCCTCTTCCCACCCAGCCCACACCCATGCAGAGCCTCTAGCTGGGATGAGCACCCCAGGGATCCCCCACTCCTGGTACTCACCTGAGGAATGGTGGCAGTAGCATTTCCACAGGACAAAGACCCCAAGGACCACTGCAAGTGGCCCCAGTATGATCAACGCAATCCAGTGTCCTAAAATGGATAAATCAGGGGGTGTGAGGAGCTGCTCCCGGTGCCCTCAGCAGTAGCTCATACCTCTCTCCCTCAGCCCACTCCCCCCACCTCCAGCAGCCCCCACTCACCAGCTAAGCCAGAGGTGGTGGTGGCAGGACCACAGCGGCGGTCGCTGTGCGGAGTGCAGGGAGCCAGCTCCACTTCTCCCTCGGGACACCTGGGAAAGGGAGAGACAGGGCAGGCTCAGTGGCCAGGAATCCCAGCACCCATCCCAGTGGGACCCACCATGTTGCCCAGCTCACCGGGGCCGGCACTTCTGGCACATCTCACAGGGGTGGTCAGGGGAGCAGAAGGTGCCGTTCCTGCAGACGCACTGGGTATTGCTGGTGTTGCGGCAGGGACTCAGCTCAACCTGATCTGTGGGTGAGAGGAGACATAGCTCGACCCCAGCCCCTCCACACCACACTCATCCTCCTCTTCCTTCGTTAAGGCAGCTAACAACCCGAGCTGACCCACAAGCAAAGCCCTCTGGTGTTGAGTTTCATAGAATCATAGAACGGTGAAGGTTGGAAGGGACCTTGAAGATCATCAGGATCCAACCTCCCTGCTATGAGCTGGGGCACCTCCCACTTGACCAGGCTGCTCCAAGCCTTTCAGCCTTACCCTTTCCTGCCCCACATCTCACCGTGCCCCAGAGAAAAGCAATGCTTGCATCAAAGCTCCACCAGCAGCCTACAACACTGCCTTGAACCTGGTCCTCCACGTCCTTGCTGGGCGGAGGTCTGGTGTCCAAGCTGGAACGCTGCATTGAATGGAGATGTAGGTCTAGCCACTACACTGATCCCAGACCCAGCCTGCTCCCTGCAGCCTGAGCCACTCGTTGGGGACACATGCTCTTAGAAGTCTGTGGTCAGAGGAACCCAGCCTGTGCCACCACCCAGCACCACCCTCTCACACCTCTCGTACCTTCCCGACACGTCTGGCAGCCGAGGCACTTGGTGAAGTCGTTTGGGTATTCAATGTACTCGTCCTTCTTACAGGGCAAACACTTGCTGGAGCCATTCTGTTCTTTGCAGTGCTCTGCAACATAGGTGCCTGCAAGGAGGGGTGGAGGAGAAAGAGAAGGGTGAACACAGGAGCCTGAAGAGGGATCTCCTCAATGCTGATCAATATCTCCAGGGGTTGTCAGGAGGGGGGGGACCAGACTCTGCTCAGGGGTGTCCACAGGGCAATGGGCACAAACTGGAGCACAGGAGGGTCAAACTAAACATAAGGACTTCTTGATTCTGAGGGTAACAGCCCTGGGACAGGCTGTCCAAGGAGGTTGTGGAGTCTCCATCCCTGGGATCTGCTCTAGGGGATCCTGCTCTAGATGATCTCCAGAGGTCCCTTCCAACCCTCACCACTCTGTGACACAACACAGGACAGAGATATCTTTGCAGAAAGGGCAAATTGTGCTGCCCGTGAAGGTAAAGGGCAAATCAGGAATCATCAAAAGAAAAACATCCCCATAATGACTCCTTAGATCTCCTGGCAGCAGAGCAGGGGAGAGCTGGAGCACTGACAGGCAGAATTCCCAGCATAGGATGTGATGTCTGAGCCCATCCTACCTGCAGGGCACTTCCTGCAGTAGAGATCGCTGTCTTGGACTTGATAAAACTCTTCCCCATCCCTGCTTGGGTCCAAGGGATACAACTTGTCCCTCCTATTCAGTGGTGCTGCAGGAGTTCCCAACGTAACTTCCTGTTAAAAAAATACAGAAAAATCTGGGTTAAAAACCACTCCAAGTCCGTGGGGCAAGGGAAGAAAGAGAAGGGCAAGAGCTGTTCTGATGAACCAGGAAAGGAGCTCTGGGACAGCTCAGAGCCACTGGACCTGGCAGCCAAACCTTGACGCAAGTGAAGGGCACTTTCCCAGTTTCAGGCTGGTTATTTCCTTGGCAAAGCATAAGGAGGAGGTATGCAGAGGGATTCCCACGTGCCAGGCCATCAGCAAGGCAAAGGCTCACTAACATTTCCTTAGGATAACATCAGGCCCCCCTTCCTTCCCCAATTTCTGAGCACGTGAACCAACAGCACCGAAGAAAATGGAAGGGCGGGGAAGAGGAACAAGGAGGGCGTTTGTGGGGAGGAAACCAGCCCTGTGTCAAGGTTGGCACATGGCTCCTGTGCCCACAAGAAACACCCGGGCTGCTCCAGGCTCCCAGGGGACAAGCACAAGCTCCAGCATTTCCACAATATCCCTGTTATCTTGCTGTGGATCGGGAAGCAACGGCCCCGTTTCTGCCAGCTCACTGGGCACCTTTCTGCTGGCTCAGCTCTTGCTGGGATGCTCCAACTCCAGGGGGATAATATTCAACAGGAATGGCCCCTCATCCCATCAGGACTTGAGGTCCTTCAGGCACCCCATGTCCCTAAAGGGGACAGTGCCCTTGGCATCTCAGCCTGCACAGGGCACAGCTGCTCCACGGACACAAAACCTGCCCTAACTTCTGGCCCCTGCCCCTCAAGCTGGGGCAGGGGTGCTGTGTGTGGCACAGCAGTGAAAGTCTCAGCAGAGACACTTTCTCCTTTCCCTCCCATACTCGGGCATGAAACCTGCCTCTCTTTAACCGTGGGGCAAGGGAAGAAAGAGAAGGGCAAGAGCTGTTCTGATGAACCAGGAAAGGAGCTCTGGGACAGCTCAGAGCCACTGGACCTGGCAGCCAAACCTTGACGCAAGTGAAGGGCACTTTCCCAGTTTCAGGCTGGTTATTTCCTTGGCAAAGCATAAGGAGGAGGTATGCAGAGGGATTCCCACGTGCCAGGCCATCAGCAAGGCAAAGGCTCACTAACATTTCCTTAGGATAACATCAGGCCCCCCTTCCTTCCCCAATTTCTGAGCACGTGAACCAACAGCACCGAAGAAAATGGAAGGGCGGGGAAGAGGAACAAGGAGGGCGTTTGTGGGGAGGAAACCAGCCCTGTGTCAAGGTTGGCACATGGCTCCTGTGCCCACAAGAAACACCCGGGCTGCTCCAGGCTCCCAGGGGACAAGCACAAGCTCCAGCATTTCCACAATATCCCTGTTATCTTGCTGTGGATCGGGAAGCAACGGCCCCGTTTCTGCCAGCTCACTGGGCACCTTTCTGCTGGCTCAGCTCTTGCTGGGATGCTCCAACTCCAGGGGGATAATATTCAACAGGAATGGCCCCTCATCCCATCAGGACTTGAGGTCCTTCAGGCACCCCATGTCCCTAAAGGGGACAGTGCCCTTGGCATCTCAGCCTGCACAGGGCACAGCTGCTCCACGGACACAAAACCTGCCCTAACTTCTGGCCCCTGCCCCTCAAGCTTGGGCAGGGGTGCTGTGTGTGGCACAGCAGTGAAAGTCTCAGCAGAGACACTTTCTCCTTTCCCTCCCATACTCGGGCATGAAACCTGCCTCTCTTTAACTGCAAATATTTCTCCTGTGAGTCAGAAGCTGCCTTGAAAGGCTGAAACAATAGAGTTTTCCTCTGAGCCAGACAGGCCATGTAGAGACCCAATCCCTCCCCCTTCCTCCAGAGACTGCTTCCAGCACTTGTGCAAGGAAGGGGGTGTGTGTGAAAGCCAGCTGGAGGAGGTCTGGCTGCTTTGAAAGACCCACCACACCACCACTGAGAGCAAGCCAGGCCACGAGAGGGTGACACTCCCCCCCACATCCCCTAGCACCCAGCTTGGCCTAGAGACACAGAGAAGTATAGACCCTTCAAGCCCTGGCCAGCCTGGGTACAGGACCATCTCCAGACCCAGCCTTGGAGAAACCAAACCCACATCTCTTCAACAGCTTCTGGTTTTGCATCTCCTGCTGCTTCCTCCAACCGGGAGGGTTTGCAAGTGTATAACATGCTTTTCTATCCAGCTTAAGAGAGAAATTCTGCCTTAACTTCCCAGCCACAAGCAGCTCTCAGGGCTTTTCCCACTCTGCTCCTGAAAGCCTTCAGGGACTGGGCAACCTGCCCCACCACCTCACTGTCCCCACAGGGGAATGAAAAAAAATAAGCTTTTTCCCCCCCCCATTCAAACTCAGCCAGGCTGTGAAGGTGATCACAGCAACAACTACCCATTATCTGCTGTTTGGAAAAGCCCGAGGCACAGGATTCCATTGCCTTTCACCAAACAACAACTCAGCAGAGCTCACACACAAGTGCACGATAAGGTTTATCAGCTCCCACCACCTTCCCCAGCAAGTGCAGCTCAAGTGCATCATCCCACCACAGAGCCCTTGGCAGGCAAGGGCCACATCCCTGACTAACCCATCAGACTTGCAAAGCACGGGGAGAGAAACCAGGCTGGGAGCCGTGGGCGGGTGAGCCACAGTGGGATTCCAGAGTAGTTTTCACCCACAGTAAACATCCCAAGAAAGCAACGTTGCCTCAAGGCAGAGGAATTACCAGGCAGAGGAATCCTCAAACCCTTCCGCAGTTAAAAGTCTCTTCCCCTGGATGCTCAAGTTTGACAGAAAGTTCTGGGAAGCATCAACCTTCAAACTTTCCCTTCATCCATCCTTGATTTGTTTTTAATCCTGAAGGGATCCCAAGGAAGGGGTTGGACCCTCGAGAAGAAGACAGACCCCTCGTTCAACTCTTGACCAGCAAGGAACACCTGTGAGGCCTTGATGGCAGCAGGAAAGGCTTTTAGCCAACAGTGTGAAGGAGCCAGGCTAAAAGAGATGGCAGGCAGACACCCGATGTGTGTCTGCTCCTAGGGGACAGGCCTGACAAACACACCAGGGTGTCCCTCCCCACACCAAGACTTTCTGAGGATGGAAGCTGAGCTCCCACAGTGATCCAACAACATTCCTCCTCAGAAGCCAGTGGCCCAGGTCCAGGCATGATGCAACAAGTATCAGAGGAAGGAAACGCAGTCGTAATATCGTACGACTATGACGTGGGACATCAGGCCTGAGCTCTCCCTCCTCTTGAATAAAAGAAGGTAGTAAAAGTTAAAGAAAGAGGCTGTCAAGTGACACAAGTTTTGGTTTGGTAAGGATAAACTCTCATGATCAATACAGGGAAGGAAATGAATGAGAAGGCTGATGTGCTTTGAAAAACCTCTTACGTCACTACTGATTCTGGGGACAGGAATTCCATCACTGGGCAAGTCTGGGGCCACAGCAGGGCCAGGCCCCCACATGGATTGCAGGCCAGCCCCGGGATAAAACTCAGGGTGGAATATCCCTGGGGATAAACTTCAGGGTGGGATCCCACTCCCTTCAGGTGAGACAAGACTTAAGGTATTTGCGCCTGATCCATGGGGAAACGTGATCCGCACAGAGGGGATTTTCTGTCCCAAAAACCAGGGGCACTGAGGGGTGGGCCATCCTCTGGGCAAGTTAGAGAGGCAGAATTCCTGCAGCAGGCTGCCCGGAGCTGCCTACAGTCCTGGCATTGCATCCAGAGCACGAGGGAGGGACAGGAAGAGAGCGGGAATCCCCTGCGGTGACGCCTCAGGGCCATATTTCTGCCCCGCACACGTGTGCACCTGCCCCCCCTGCCCCACACCCGGGAGGGCTGAGATCACCCCATCCACCCCACCCCTCTTCTACCCTGCCCCACAGCCTCAATCCCGGCCCCCCCTGGCCTGCAAAACCTGCCCAGGTGAGTAACCCCCCACGCCCTACCAGCCCAGCTCCCCTCCCGTGGGCACTGCCCTGGTGAACC